CCCTGAAAGTATGCTTGCCCAACGGGCAGATACCACGGGTATTGCTACGATACTCAGTGGCGACCTGGGCAGCGGTATACGCAGCAAACATATTGTGTATGGCAACGCATCATTGAACAGCACCGCTATCCTTGATGGATTTACCATTTCAGGTGGCAGCCTTACCACCACCAATACTCAAACCGATGGCGGGGCAGGCATGTATAATTATGGCAGCCCGCAACTGCTGCACCTGATCTTCGAGAACAACATAGTCAATCTTACAGTTACCAGCAATAACCTTAGCAGTATTGGTGGCGGAGGCGGCCTGTACAATAAAGCCGGTAACCCATCATTAAAGTGGGTAACCTTTCGCAACAATGAAGTACGGATCAATGTCACCGGTAGTCCCGGCCAGCTCGGTGGCGGGGGTGGTATGCTTACCGATGCCGGTGCGCCTGTATTATCTCATGTCAGCTTCAATGGCAATAAAGTAATCATCTCCGGTTATATAGGTTGCGGAGGCGGCTTATATGCCGTCAATAACGCGGTGCCTGAATTGACAAACATACGGTTCAGCAGCAATTCGGTAACGTCGACAAATACAAGTGCCAATGGCAACAGGGGCGGCGGCATGTTTACCATTGGTGCGGTGAACTCGCCCAGCGCCATAAAGATGACCAACATCCTGTTTGAAAAAAACATCTCCTATGAAGGCAGCGGACTCTATGTATGCTTTAACAGCGCAACCCTTACCAATGCCACTTTTTATGGCAACAGCGATGGCTCACCCATTAATGATTATGACCTGGTTGCTTACTTCTGCAACCTGAGTGTTTACAACACCTTAATTGAAGGCATGGCCAAAAATTCGGGTTCAGCCACATTAGAGATCAGTAACAGTAATATCAGCGGCGGTGTCTTTAATGCATTTACCGGTACCAATAACCAATTTGGCCTGCCGATAAAATTTATAGATGCCCCCAAGGGTAACTATGCCCTGATGTATTGCAGTGATGCCATCAACACGGGTGATGACAGTAAAAATACCTTATCCACCGACCTCCGTGGCGCACCCCGGAAGTACGGGCAGATTGACCGTGGAGCGTTTGAAATGCAGCGCCTGGCAACCGCACCCGATATCATCTACGTAAAGCAAAATAATACACAAACCATTGCCGACGGCGCTTCCTGGAGCACTGCTTTCAATGATCTGCAAACAGCACTCAACTATAACTGTAACGGCATATACCCTGCAAAGATATGGATGGCAGAAGGCCGCTACCTACCCAGCCTGACCGGGGAACGGGAGGAGCGCTTCGAGCTGAAGAATAATATGGCCATCTTTGGCGGGTTTGCCGGTAATGAAGCCAACCTGATTGAAAGGGATAGTACCGGAGCTACCCATACAACGATCCTGAGCGGGGAATTACAAGGCGATA